AAAAAAAAAAAAAAAGCAAACAAAAAATAGAATTTTTGGACCCCACCCTAAACTGCCAAATGCAAATCTGCAATTTAACAAGTTCCTGAGCTGTAAATCTATTAAAGTTGGACAAGCCTCATTCCCTGCCATTCTGCCATAAACATATCAGACCTCACTGATAATAAAGTTCGCCTTTATTCTTTAGGGAAAGAATTTCAGTCAGTTATATTTTAGTGTGAGTTTATATAATAATGTTAATTCCTCACATAGGATTAGCAGATAGGGGAATAATTTCCAAATAACATGGAAATTACATTAGTTCAAATATGATTCCTTTCCCCAGCACATTAACTTTTTGCCCCCATCAAGTTAATGCAATTAACACAGTTGAGCACCTAGCCACAGAAAGCACAAGACTGTACATCACTCCCAATCACTTCAAGTCAGTACTTGGCTCAGTTTAGCCACATGCTGTGTCTCTAAAGTGCTTACTGCTGGAGTTTCCTTTATCTCTGTGCATTTTGTCCTTGCCTCTTAACTTAGCAGCTCCCACCTTCCCTTTCACCCCTTCCATCAAGTCACCTTCCCCTTCTTTTTAGGAAAAGTACTCTATTTACTATGTTATGTCTTTGATGAATGGTAACTTAGTATGTCTTTTTTAAGTTTGCAAGGATTTTTCATTAAGATGTTAACATTTTTGATAGTTGTATAGGAGTTAAGGGACCTACCCAGCTTAATTTTCTTCCAGTTTGCCCTATTATTTTTAGTAAGCAGTTTTGCTAAATGAAAGGAACAAAGTATATCATGTTACAACAACACAAATACCCACATTCTGCAATGATTAGAGAGGTTCAGAAGAAACACTATCCATCTACTTTTGGATAAATACCCATTATTCTCAAAGGTGCAGCACAATGCACAGAAGAGATGATGGGCTTGAAGACAGAAGAAATGCATTAAAATAGTCACTGACAAAAATCCCCAGCTAAAGGGTTAAAACTGCTCTCAGCATTGAAATGCAGTTAGTATGATGAAAGTTTCTGAGACAAGTCCAAGTGATTAACATAGGCCCCTACCCAGCTTCTGCTTTTGCAGCTTCACCTGGTCTCAACCTCAGTTCTTGACAAACTCACAGTCTCACCTGGCCCACAGACCTACAGCATCCCTGGGCCTGCTCTGGCCTCTGGTGATTTTTCTTTGCTGACCCCTACCTGTCTGATCAGACCTTTTGTACACTTGGACAGAGAGATTTGCAGCCCCTCTCCAGTGTACGATACTGACTCAAACCCATATGCTCAAAGCATGGGGCTGTGAATGAAATCTACCATTTCTGTGGCTCACAAAGCTCTCTCTCACACACACCCCATTACCCAGTCATTTACTTAATACCTCAGCACATTAAGAATTAATATTTCCATGTTTTGTCCTCAATCTTATATAATTTCTTATGTCTTCTTATATAATTTCTGTGTCTCTATAATATTTTTGACTATGGTTGTCCTTAAAATGCATTCCCGCTTTGATCAAAATATTAAAGTCCCTTCTATTTTTAAATGTTTTTAAGCTTATTTATTTTGAGAGAGAGGGAGAAAGAGAGCGTGCGCACACACAGTGGGAAAAGGGTAGAGAGGAAAGACAGAATCCCAAGCAGGCTCCGCACCATTAGCACAGAACCGGAGGCAGGGCTCAAATTCACAAACCAAGTGATCCTGACCTGAGCCAAGATCAAGAGGCAGACACTTAACCAACTGTGCCACCCAGGTGCCCCTCCAGTCCCTTTTAAAGATAAAATGGATATTGTTGACATTAGAGGAAAAGCCAGAATATACGATTGTTTTCCCAGTTACTTTCTGTCCATTTCTCTGCTTAGTCCAGAATCTTAACGAGGCTATTCACTCTAGATTTTCTTAAATAAAGTTTAGAAGTTTCATGCAACAAATATTTTATACTTTGATTTTTTTTATTTAAATAAAATTTTTAAAAATTCTGGTGCCACATGCTCAATACTCACCCATTACTAACATTGAAATACTCCTGAACATCTATCCATTTGCCTTATATCTCTCCTAATCGAATGCCTCCTACTTACCATATATATTTTTTATATTATAAAATAACCCTCCTTTTAAAATTTGGCAACTCAAAGGAGTAAGTCTACAAAATTGTGTGTAAATCTTAAATAATTACCAATCAGTTGGTAATTTTTCTCTGTAACCATTTTTGTTTCACATTAAGTCTCAGTTGTGTGTGTATGCATGTGTTGTGTGTGTATGCATGTGTGTGTGCATGTCATTGTGAAATAAGAAAGAACACAGCTGCTTTCATAAACATATGCAGAACAGTGGCAGCCTCCAGTTCTTCAGACACTGGTTGTCCCAAATCACACAAGTCATCAACTGAATAATCAGAAAAGGAAAACAGGATATTTTCAACCAAAGAAGATGAAAGCCGATTTAAATTGGTCCTGTCATGGTTTCAGTCAAACAAATCTACAGTTATTAAAATTAACATGCAGAATCATCAAATAAGTATTGCCAGGTAAAGGAGATAGTGACTGCAGCTAAATTCTATAACAAGAAAAGTTAACTTGACATTCTGGTACAAGGAGATCAATGAATATGTCGATAGGATGGGACTTTAAGCCAGAACAGAACATAAACCTTGGTCAAAAGAATCAAATTCAGCAGATTTAGGTGACCAGGGCTGTATGTGAAGAAACTATACAAAAATCCGTGAAAGGGAAGGTGGACTTCGGTGGAGATCTAATGAGTAAGTATAAAAATGGTTCAAGAGGAAAGAAGTGATAGTACCTTGGCAATTCAGTACTGGAGGGAAAGTGGGAGTGGAAGAAAAGTGAGAGCAGAGAAGGGGAGAGGGGGAGAGAGAGAGACATTTTCAAATATGGATTACAAGATGGACATAGAGTATAGTTAAGAGGGACATTTAAGAGTATCCAGGTATTTTCAATGTTCTTAAAACTTGAGTATCTGATAAATATTTGCCATACCTTGCTATTTCATTGCTCAGAAAGAAGGAACAAGAACAATAGCCACAATTTACTGAGTAATAACTCCGTTCCAAGCATTATGCTACATACTTTGAATATATGATCTCATTTACTTCTTTCAACAATCATGAAAACTATTATCCCCATACAGGCGGTAATTGGTAGGGCCATTTTGTAAAGCCCTCAAATTTTGGGCGGGGAGGGGATTTATTTTACAGTAATAACATTACCCTAAGTAATACAGAAGATCAGAGTAGATTCTCTTGAGGAAATAACTGTGGAACTAAGATTGTGGAAGATTAAGAATTAGACTAAGGGCATGGTCTCATGGTTTGTGAGTTCGAGCCCCATGTCTGGCTCTGTGCTGACAGCACTGTTTAACTAAATAAACATAAAAAAAAAAAAAAAGAAAAAAGACTGGGGGTGGGGGGGTGGAAATACAAGACTATTCTAAGCACAAGGAACAGCCAGTGCAAAATTCTTGAGGCAGGAGTACTCATAGTGCATTTGATGATTTTAAAAGTGGAGTGACTGGAGCACAGTGCAGGGGTGCAGGGGTGGTGCAGCGAGGAAGCTGGAGCAGGAGACAGGGGCTACATCAAGTATTCTGGGTAATAGCCTAAAAGCTATGGAAGAGTTTTTAAAGGGGAGAGGACTGTTCACACATGTGTTTTGCAAAGGTTCTTTTGGCTGCATTGCAAGTAATTGATTAATTGAAGAAGAACGAGAGTGGAAGTGGAGAGACCAGTTAAAGAAGCCAATGAGAGAATAGAAACTTGGTGAAATGGACAACAAACAAAAACAGAACAAAACTAACCTTTATATAACCTTCCTCCATCTGCTCTATGTCAGTGTATGGCTACCCAGTCTAGACCATATAATCCTTATAAGTTCCAAACCAGAGGAATCATCTTTGCAACTCCCTCTACCACGACTCCATAAGGAATCAGTTACCATTTCCTATTGGTTTTATTTCCTTAAAAACAAAACAAAACACACACACACAAACGAACACAAATTACACTTGGTCATTTACTCTAGTCCTCTCCAATATGCCTGGATGGTCTTTCTAAAATGCAGAATCCTCCATCAGTGTCCATATACATGACTTTCTTTTTTTTTTCTTCTGTCCTTAGTTTGTTCTCTACCGCCACAGGACTTTTGTACATGCTGTTCTCTCTTCCTGGGACTCAACCTCCACATCCCAGCTGCAGAATTACTCAAGAAAGACCTCTCTTCTGCTCCCAACTGCCCTACTTTTGGGTCTCCTTGTACATTTGACTTTTTTTGTGCCACAGGCATGTCTAAAAATTTAAAAATCCCTCCCTAGCTATACTGAAAGCTTCATGGAGGCAGGTTCTATCTCTGTTGTACCCCAACTATCTATAAATCTAGGTTGACTGAACCCTTAGATTTTATGGAGCTTGTTTAAGGGTTTTATGTTACTTTCGTCGCTACAGAGCCATTAAAATGAGTTTTTGTGTCGTGGCAAACAACGATAGCTCTTCCCTCTAAAACAAGTGCAAGAACAAAGGTAAAAGCCAGGGATTCACTTCACTGGCAAGCACTGCGCGTGCGCTATCTGCCAGGTTCTCAACCCTTGAAGTCGCTCTGGCCAGAAAATCACCTTAGCGCCTGCTTAGTTCGGGGCTGCACAACCAGAGGGCGGGGTCCAAAGAGGAGGAAATGGTCACTGCGCCTGCGTCCGCTCCTTCTGGGTCCTAGGCTGGCTGCGCAGGCGCATATGTACCATTTTGACCGTAAACATCCTGCCGATTTGAACCGAGGATTTGGGCGGCAGGAAGAGCCGCGGCGTAACGGCAGCCATCTTGTTTGTTTGAGTGAATCGGAAAGGAGGCGGTGGCTGTGGCGGCGGCGGGAGCTGCTCCGAAGCTACACCTCACAGGGGCTCCCCCCCCTTTCCCCGCCCCCTCCCCCGACCCTTTTCCCCTCCCCAGGCCACCCAGCCCGCCCAGCTCCCGGCGGAGTACAAGGTAAGATACTCGGCCGGCCCCTCTTATCCTCCGGCTCCCTCCCCCTACCCCTTCCCTGCCGTCCTGCCGTCTAGGAGCCGGGCTCGGGGAGGGGGGGTCGGGGGGGGAGCGAGGGAGGAAAGCACTCGCCGTATCCCGGGACGGTGGCCGTGCTGCCACCCTCCGAGCCCTGGAACGGCAGCGCCGCCTGCCCAGGCCGCTTTCCCCGGGCCCGCCCTCGGCCAGGACCCGCGCAACCTGGGCCCGCATTATCGCTTGTCTGGTAACAAATGGTTCTAGTCCGTTCCAAGACCGAAAAAGCCGTTACTCCTTCAGTCCCTCGGGAGCCACATCTCCCCGAGGAGGCAGAGGAAACCTTGGGTCCTGGAGGGAAAGGAGGAGGTTTGAACGAGCCCGCTCTGGGACTGGGCCGCCTACTCGGGCAAAAATGGCTGTCTAGGAAGACGCGGGACGCGGGGCGGGCGGCGGCGGCGGGTCGGCCCCCGCGGTGGCAGCTCGGTGGGGCAGCAACCGTCTGCTTGGGTGCGGGGGGTCGGAGACGTGGGGGCACTGCCCTCGCGGGCGCTGTGGACCCATAGCACGGCGACGGGCCCCTCGCCAGGGATTGCTGCTGCTCCTCCTCCCCTTTTTTTAAGGAAATATTTTACGTTGGGAATATTACACACTGGACAGACCAATAGAAAACGAGACCAAGGGAAGTTGCTTCTGATTCTTAGGAAATTAGCATAATTGGTCCCCCCCACCCTACTTTTCTAATGATTAGGGATAGTGAGTGTTTTGTTAATTGATATAGAGACGCTTTGGGAAGGTGGTTTCTGACAAATGCTTGGTGTTTTTCTCCTTTCTGAGAAAGTCTTTGCGATTGATCTGCTGTGATAGAGTGGGGTGACACTATCTACTTGTGGTGCCAGACCTAGCGGCATTCTTTCAAATTTGGAAGAAGGAAACGCTGGAGGGTTTGTCTGCCCACCCTATGATTGTAACGCTGTCTTAAGGGTGCAAAACCGCGCTAGTGTTTTAATGATTTCTGGTAAAGGCTTATGTCTGTCAGCTTTCTTTGCAAGCGAAGTTTAATATTTGCTCTCATAATGCTGTTTAGAATCATCACTGAAATCCAGAAAAAAAAATCTTTTTAAAAATGAATGCAAATGCCAATGAGCTGTGTGAATCGGCAGAATTTTAGAGACGGGCTGGAGAAGCTTTCCTAAGTTGTAGAATCTTTAAATTTATTTTTGTTTTTAATGTTGGAGGCAATTTACAATTACTTTTTAGAAAGACACTGATGAGGACATATACCGTAACCAGTGATTAAATTATTTAACAGTTCGTAAATTGTTGAGGTGACAGCAGTGCATAACTAATGGACATAGTGCTTTTCATAAACAAGTCAGAATTAGATTGGTAAAGAGTAACCTTAATAACTTTTTTGTTTATAAAGACAACACATTAGTACACTCTACACTTGTTTTTCGCTTAGAGTGGTAGGTTTAAAGTATTCTTAAAATTATTTCTTTCCTGATGAATTTCTATTTATTGGAAGGCAAATATTCTGAAAAAATTTTATCTTTCATAGTTTGGTGCAGAAGGGAAATTTCTAATGTTTAAGAAATAAAGGTTTTGTGTATTTTGTTTAAATGTTGTGATGTCAGATTGTTAGGCATGATCATGCTTTTTATTTTCTGCTGTGAGATTTTTTTCAAATTTACTGTTTATTTACATCCCGGTAGGATTGTGCTAGTTTGCTATTCTGTTTCATTCTCATAATCCTTTTTGGTTAACATCCTCATTTTATAGATGTGAAAGCTAAGACTCAGTTAAATAACTTTTAACCATTACAGAACAACTCAGGAGGGAGCTGAATTTGAATCTAGGACCTTTTGATTGTAAAATTGTTGTTCAAAGAATGTTAGTAGCAGAAGGGTGGGGAGCTCTAGTGTGCAGGGTTGGAAATAACTTCTGTTCCTGAGACAGCCCCCAAACCTCCAGAGATCATCACATTCTTATCTGAGTTTTAGGTATAGATGTTTTCCAAGGTTAGTAAATCACTGAATTTCAAACTTCCAGGTTTTCATAGTTTGTGAAAATGAACCACACAGACTAAGCAGCTTGTTAGTTAATGGCAAAGCAGGATTGTGCCTTGACTTACAATATAATAGTTTTTACTTTGGGTGAGATTTGTGTGTGTTCCAAGTTAAAGTCGAACAGTACAAAAAGATAGGTGTCACTTTCCCAGCAGACCCGCTTTCCAAAGGTAACCAGTGTCATCAGTTTCATTTGTACACCACAGATAATTTATGTAAGTGCATTAAATATATCTTACAGAGAGAGCCTTCCTTTAAAGAGTACATATATGTGTATCATTGTTTAAGTCTGCATGGAATTCTGTTATATGGCTGTATTAATTTGTTAAAAGTCACTAATTAGCAGCCAGGTAAATTATTTCTAATGTTTTGCTGTTAAAAGACATGCTGGCAAGGCAACACAGTGTTGCGTTAGAGGTGTGAGCTCTGAAATTCAAGTTTCACTTGCATTAAATGCTAATGACCTTTGGCACATTGTCCATTTTCTCTGTTTCCTCATCTGTAAAATGGGCTGGTGCTTACCTCATATGACTGTCGTTAAAAGGATGGACACATCAGTTTTTAACATTTTTTGTTGTTATTATATATCTCAAGGTATGCCATTGGCATTATTACTGGAAGTGCAGTTTTCTATTTCGAGTGTTTGAGATTTTCATAAGATGTTGGCAAATTGCCCTTAAAAGAGGTTATCCCAATTTATACAACCATTGTCCTGCCCTGCTTTCTAACAGATGAGTGAAATATCATAATGACTAATAAATATCATGGTAGAAGCATTGCTTCTACATTGTAGAAACAAGGCTGTAATTTGCCTTTTTTTGTAAGATCATAAATTGTCATTTTTTCCATTTCTAAATATGTTCAAAAATACTGATTTGTCATTTCACTTTAGACATAAATTACTTTTTAGGCTATATTGAAAAAAGTTTGCTGCTTTAGAAAAAAATGAGACTGGGGCGCCTGGGTGGCGCAGTCGGTTAAGCGTCCGACTTCAGCCAGGTCACGATCTCGCGGTCCGTGAGTTCGAGCCCCGCATCAGGCTCTGGGCTGATGGCTCAGAGCCTGGAGCCTGTTTCCGATTCTGTGTCTCCCTCTCTCTCTGCCCCTCCCCCGTTCATGCTCTCTCTCTCTCTGTCCCAAAAATAAATAAATGTTGAAAAAAAAATTTTTTTTAAAAAAAAAAAGAAAAAAAATGAGAAATGCTGAAATTGCGTAAGCTGTCCTCTCAGACCAAATACAGGCTTTATGCTAAGATCTTTTACAAAGGATTAACAGACTTAGAATTTTCAACATTTACAGAGATTAATCAACTTTTTTTTTAATTAAAGTATGGTAATACTAAGAAAAAAGATTGTTCAAAAGATTGTACTTTATTTAGATATAAGCCAGTTGTTGATCTACCACTGTGCTTCAGACGTCCTATAGTTATTAGGGTGATTTCCTCTTGCTAATTGTTTCCCAGAATAACTTTCGCACCACTTTGCTTTAGTTACCCCATCCCATGCCAAGAAAGCATCTATTTAGGAATCTTTGCCTCCACATAACTGGGATATTTTAGGCATGGTACTCTGACTAGCAGCTTAAGTCCTGGCCATGAGTTACTGACACCTGTTGAAAAGTGCCAGTAGTTTTAATTTCTAAAATTTCCAGAATTTTTTACATATGTCAATTATGAGATCACTTGGTGTATCTCATTTCCTTATTCATTAAGCACATATTTAGTAGTTGTTATGCAGCAGGCGGTATTCTAAAATCTAAATATTAAGGAGATATTTGGAATACAGCTATCTTCTATAGTGAAAATTGGGACTTCTTGTGTATGACAGCAACTGTATTTCTAAGAACACATTGCCATATTGGATTTCTACAAAATCCTGTAGACTGTATTTTTAGCGCTGTAGAGGCAGCTTGATTTTCAGGCTAACAAACATTAAGGCTTAAAGTAAAAGCATTGCTTTGCAACATAGGCTCTCTTTGATTATGGGAAGCATATTTGGAAATATAAAATACTGCTGAGCAGGATATAAGATACACTTGAGGAGTTAGTGTTTAATTCTGTCGTAGAGTGTTTAATCTGAATTCTTCCTACTTTTCACATTCCTTAGTCACATTTAAGAGAGTTCACAACATTGGGCAGTTGATGAAGCCTGTTTTTGTTTTTTGTTTTCTTTTGAAACAGTTTTCCTAGTGTGAATTAATAATGATCCTCTGGACACATCTGGTTCAGCGATTGAAAATTTCAGGACCCTTTGCCATTAAGTAATAGAAAAATGGAAAGGAGGCAAACCTGACTGAATTACTCTTGCACAACCACCTTCCACCCTTTCAAACTTTTTTGACAGGCATGAAATCTCTTGCCTATAATATGTTTAACTAATATATATTTCCTGTACAACACTGGAAAGAATGGATACAGTTTTTAATTCAAAATACAATAAGCAGGGGCGCCTGGGTGGCGCAGTCGATTAAGTGTCTGACTTCAGCCAGGTCACGATCTCGCGGTCTGTGAGTTCGAGTCCCGCGTCAGGCTCTGGGCTGATGGCTCAGAGCCTGGAGCCTGTTTCCGATTCTGTGTCTCCCTCTCTCTCTGCCCCTCCCCCATTCATGCTCTGTCTCTCTCTGTCCCAAAAATAAATAAAAACGTTGAAAAAAAATTAAAAAAAAAATACAATAAGCAAAATTCTCATTATAAAATTTACAGATTCTCATTTTAAAATTTACAGTCTCTGCAAAACTTGAAAATTTAGAGTTAACTTACTCTGGATATTTTTTTAAGCTAATTCTAAATTTTACATTCCCACTGGCAGTGTATAAGAGGTGAAGCTTCTCTGTATCCTCACCCGCCTTTGATGTTGCCATTATTTTTTATTTTACGTTTTAATAATGTGCAGTAATATCTCGTGGGTCTAAATTTGCATTTTCTTAATGACTGGTGATGTTGAACATCTTTTCTTGTTCTTATTTACCTTTGGTATATCCGTTTCTGTGAAATTTCTCTTCATTTCTTTTGCCCATTTTCCAATTAGATTTTTTAAAGTTTATTTTGAGAGAGAGTGCTTGAGTGCACGTGTGCAAGTGGGGGAGGGGCAAAGAGAGGGGGAGAGAATCTCAAGCAGGCTCCAGGGTGTCAGTGCAGAGCCTATGCGGGGCTCCAACTCAGGAAACTCTGAGATCATGACCTGAGCCGAAGCCAAGGGTCAGACGCTTAACTGACTGAGCCACCCAGGCACCTCTCTAATTAGATTTTTTTACTTGTGTTTTTAGAATTCTTTATTCTGGATCTAGGTTCCTGTCAGATATGTCATTTTCAATTTTTTCCCCATTTTGTATCTTTGCATTCTCAGTGAACTCTTTTATATAACAATTTCTTAATTTGATAAAGGCCAATTTATTGCCTTTTTTTCCTTTATGGGACATGTTTTTGGTGTCCTGTCTAAAAATTCTTCCCAAGGTTTAGGTACTAAAGGTTTTCCCCTCTGGTTTTTTCTAAAAATTTTATAGTTTTACATTTAAGTTTGTGATTTATTTTAAATTACTTTTTTTTTTTTTTTAAGCTTACTTATTTTGAGAGGGACAGCAGGGGCAGAGAGAGAGTCTAGAGGAGCCCAATGCAGGGGTCAGACCCATGAAACCATGAGATCATGACCTGAGCCAAAATCAAGCATTAGACCTCAGCCAGCTGAGCCACCCAGGCACCCCTGAATTACTGTTTATATAATGCATGAGGTTTGGATCAAGATTCATATTTTGTGGATGATATCCAATCACCATTTGCTGAAAAGACTGTCCTTTCCCCTTTGTCAAGCTTCTTCATCTTTGAAAAATCAGTTGGAGTTATTTATGTGGATTTATTTCTGGGTTTCTGTCCTGTTTCATTGTTGTGTGTGTGTGTTTTCTGCCACACAATGTTGACTATTGTAGCAGTTAGGTAAATCTCGAAATTGGTTAGACAAATTCATCCCACTGTATTCTTTTTTAAAAAAGTAGTTTTAGCTATTCTCGTTCCTTTGCCTTTCCAAAGAAATGTTACAAAAATCTTGTCAGTGGCTATAAAAAAAAAAAAAAAA